TCTCAATTAAGCCCGTTGCATCTTCGAACACGAACATAACGGGATATTTCATAAAAATATCATACTCGAGTTATTATCGAATTAGAAGTTCTAGGCAGGACTCTACAAGATGCATTCGGTGTCATTGGTCAAAACGTGGAAGAATTCGAAGCATTATTCATAGATTATACTGCTGCTGACACGTCGAACATTACCCAATAAGTTTGTGGCCTTCTTTCTATCTGTGTTTTCGTGTTTCCCTTTTGTTTATGCCTCACCTGGATCATGACTTGTCTCTGTTTCTTTGACTATGACTCACGACGCTCTCTTTTATGGATAGACTCGGTGTTCGATACTATTTCTTTAGATACATTCCATGACATGTCTTCCAAAGTCGATTATTCGTTGAACTTACACAATAAGCCTCTTAGGGTGCCGAGAGAACAGTGTGCATGAAGGTCTCATAGTTGATCTGGATCCACCCAGATCGTTGCGTATCCAACCTAGGGAGAAATAGTGAGCACGAGTCATAATCAAGTTGAGAACGAGTCTACCTCTGGAAGGATTCTGTCAATTGCCTGACGACGACACAGCAGCGAACAAAGCGGTCAAACGTGATTCCGGTTGGCTGAGGGGGCCTAAATCCATATCCACCATGACCTTGGGGAGCGGCTGGTTCGGAAGCTGATTTTTTTTCAGGGGAGAAGACTGCCCAGTTGGGCAGTGAGGTAGAAATCAAGTCAGTGATCTGGTACTATCCAGAGCTGCAAGGCTAGACCTACCATACTTCCTCTCCAAGAGACCCAAGAGTTGTGGGCTGAGGTTGAACCCGAATTGAGAGAGGGCAGCGTTGAGTTCTTGGCCTTGGATCGTTCCAGAGCGGTCTGCGTCAAAGTGGGCAAAGACTTTTTGCCTGGGAGAATGTGAGTCGTGAAACGTGTATGATTCCATTGTATGATGCGTACCAGTCCTTGATGTATCTCAAGAGTCCCTGGAATTCGTTGAATCCTGTTGGTGACGATGAGCAAGGCTATTCCTAATTGGGAGGTCACGCGATATGTACCAATGGTTCCGGAGCGATCGGTATCAAACATGGACATGAGAAGCTTGACCGTATCCAAGTCGAATGCTATTTTTGCATGAGGACAGTAACAATAGACCCGCTTCAGAGACTTACGGGTCCAGTCACCATTGACAAGAGCCTGTTGAAGTTCGGTAGCTAATATCTAATGAGTAACATGCACAGCCGAGCTAGAGGTACGATATACCTGTGATATGATTCGACTTGTCGGTGTCGACTTGAGTGAACCACTAGAGCGTGCAGATGAGTCCCGGCCATCCTAGAGTGGCAATCGTCTACTTGCCTGCCAAGCCCTATTCGATTACATTCATTTAGTCTCTAATGATCTCAGAATAATAGTTTATAATGCTCACTCGGGATCGGCGCCTGGAGGAGGCCCACCAGCATTAAAGCCGCCTGGACCACCACCATGAGGAGGACCACCACCACCACCATATCCGCGATATCCATATCCTCCAGAACCCGGAGGAGGACCAGACGGGGGACCATACTAGTGCACACACGCCGCATAAATGCCAAATGCCACCAAACGCGGGGTTGAATATAGAGATCAAGACGTCATCTCAGTAAAGGAAACGAAACAGGCGATCTGAACAGATTATACTGACACCGTACGACATTGTCAAGAGTAGTTGTGAAGAGTAGTTGTAGTTGGGGGGCAAGATGAGAGAGAACAAGCCGTGAGTGAGCGCGCGATAATAGGGATATGCCTGTGGCTGTGTTTCCCGCTCATTACGGTGGCTGCGCCCAAAGAGCGGCTTATTGCGTGACGATTCCTGGCCAAATTCGCCGATTCAGATTGCAGTCTCTTTTATGGCTCTGCAAGGGATCATGTATTTTGGGAGAAAACAAGATAGTACAGCGAGGTAATCTATAAGTTATTATCTCCAATAATTAGTGGTAGCCGTGGATAGTATTATATAATACACGGGACAAGGGGGGGGAAGGGGGAATGGGTACGACCGGTACGCGTTGATCTCAAGCCGGGTGAGATGAAAAATAATCAAAAAAAATATGCAGCGAGATATGATTGTGCGATGTGTATATGTGTGTATGGTCTCAGACGTTCCGGACGAGGTCATTGTCTGTGCTGTCTAGCTTGTGCTGCTGTAGCGATTTGGATTCGAGACCCCGAACTCTTCGGTATAGCGCTCTGATTTCTCTGTGCAGTATTATGAGCACCATGAGAAAGACTGGTAAAATTCGACAATGTATCTAGTCAGCATATTGCGCTGGAGGACGAGGTGGCTGCTGCAGCGGCTGCTTGTCTCACCTGCGGTGACCACCCCTATGGCGAGCCAGATCATCCATTTGTCCGACATTGGAGGAGAATGGTGGTAAAGGATATGTCTGCGTTCGATAACGAGGCCTGGATAGCGCCCCTGGTGTGGGATGGGGGATCTTGGCTGAGGGTTTTAGCTGGGCAAAACTAGCGTTCAGGCTGCTGCCCTGGAGGGAGAGAGAGAGATATAAAGAGCAGAAAATGATGTTGACATGGGCACAAGAACGGCCTTGACGGTGCTTCCGAATCACGTCCCAATCAACCGAGAGCTTTCCTCTTCTCCCCTTCAGTGCCTTGGAGTCGAGTCGGTCCCCCATTTTAATGCGGAAACATGTCGGCTGTCCAATCCTACGGTCTCAATTAAGCCCGTTGCATCTTCGAACACGAACATAACGGGATATTTCATAAAAATATCATACTCGAGTTATTATTATTACCGTCGCCACCCCGCCTGAGCGCTTGCCGCCTGCTCTGCTGGCACAACTTCACTGCCTTATTCCAGCATGTCTCTTCCACATCTGTCCAACAAGTTGCTTTGCGTGGAGATTGCGGACTTCTTTTTGGTCCTTTTCGGTCGCGGAGGACTGCTGAGACCGCTCGAACGGCTCCATCACGCTCGTCACGCCCTGCCACCCAATCCTCGCATCTTCAATGTCAAGCACAAACTTTCCTGATCGTCCAGGGACCTTGACAGCCATCCTGTCCGAGACTGGCGGGAGGATGACCCGAGTCGGTGGTGAGTGAATGGAGTATTAATAGTTCAAACTTTTTCTACTCACCTCTTGTGTCGCCCAATTCACACTCCCGAATAGGTGCTACTATGGGCCTGCCAGTGATAGACGTGAGCACAATCATCCGCTCACCGTGGCCCATCCTCAACGCTCGAGAAGGCGCATCGTGTCCTGTCACCTGCCACTTCGGTTGATCCGTTCGGAACGAAATGGTTCGAATCACTCGTCGTCGAAACGCCGTCATCACGCTGATGATTAAAATGCAACTGGCTATTGTCAACCCTGCCGTTTGTTGTCGCTGCTCGAGCGGTTTGCGAATGTATTTGGGCTCCCTGGGATCGGGCCGGAAACGACTAACACAGCATAGATCAGGTCTGGATCGAAGGGGAAAAAAGAGTCCTCGAGACAAGGTTTACGTACTCGTAGTTTGGATTCTCCATGGTCGTATGATTCCAGACATTGTCAACAATTCCAATTCTGCAAAAAGAACCAGTGTTACATTGCCTCTTGTCGCGTGTCAACTATTGCACTCACGTAGTAGCTATTGCAACAAACGGGAAATATCCACTCAGTCGGTAGAAGACGTGCAGCTTGGGCACATGGAAAACGACACTTTCCTGCCCGGCCTCCCACATCTTTGCGTGTTTCTGCTGTGCTGACGGTGTCTTGATCCATTTAAACAGGTTTTGGATCTCCTCGAGGAATGTAGGATACCGTTTAATAGGCGTTTCATTGGCATTTGAACGCGCCGAGCTTGTTAAACTCTTGCTGCGAGCATAGCCCTCTGTTCGTAAAAGATGAGGTCGTGCAGCACCTCGCGAGCTTGTTTGAAAACTATGAGAGATGTATTGTCTAATATTTGTAGCTCGTATCATAATTATTTTGCAATAAACTTCAAAAAAGGTGGAGAGTCGAAAAAAAAAAGAATTTGCCCAAGTATGATTGGGCGCAACAAAGCAAGGCGCTATGCCGGATAATACGGGGAAGGCGACTGGGTGTGCCCCCACCCAAGAAATTATGACACGTTCCAAATCTTGGACTCGCATCCTCCTGTAATTAGAGGCCGTCCTCGCCCCAAGGCTCGAGTAACAAACTTGACTCATTATTTACTCGTAAACACTCCAATTTATCCAAGGATTAACTCAGAGACTCGCTGCATACACGAAATTGTGGTCAAACTCCCGTCTGAGATCACAATGGGAGACGCGCCTTCGGATCCTGTTAAAGCTCGTACGCACCCATAATTATACCCGTTATATCATCTATACACCAATACTAACACGAGTATCGTCGCGTCGACAGGCTCCAGTTTCCTATCGAGTTATATGAGCAGTCACGCGGACACGCTCGTTGCATACGTGCTATACTTTGGCAAAGTCAAAGAAACACCCTCTACAGCTAAAATGACGAGTATAGATCAAAATGTGAGTGATCTTGCATTTAGTTTCTCGATTGCCGCCCAGCCTCGGCTGGCAAGCGGGGAAGCAGCGTGTGACCAGGGTACTGAACCGTTCTCTCTAGAAAATGGATCTATCCTACCAAGTCAAAGGGTCAGAAGAGTGGAAATCCGTCTCTGTCGAATTTGATCCTCCATTGTCCGGCTACGAGGCAGTAAAACCTCGGCTCATGCAAATGAAAGCGGACGCTGAAGAGGGACTTGGAATGGTGTGTATACATGTATCTTCATCTCTATGAATACTAATATCTTGTCACGACAGGCCAAAGCCCCTCCGTTGACGACATTTTCACTCAAACCTGGCTCATTTCGTGCCCTCCCGGTCCTATTCATCCTAGCCGTGTTCTCGTTGGCACCCTACCACGAAAGGGTGATCACCAAAGAAGAGGTCCCACCTCTTCTCTATCCACTCCTCCCTCACGCCAACACCGCTCTACACTTTTTGACAAGTATGCGCCAAGGTCTTCCCTTTACACCCAACACGGCACATGTCCTCTGGACCACCATTGCAGTGATCCACATCTCGTTTGCACTCCTC